TGCTTGCATATAGAAAAAGTGTTTGCATCAATCTAGGTTCCAGGTTTTTACCTGAGCAATACAGAGTGGTATCATCAGCAAACAATACACATTTTAACAGTTTGGAAATGCTACATATGTCAATATACATACATTTGTACATATGTAATCTAATCATTTGTTTAATCTAGCTGTTCATGCTTTTTTAAAAAAAAAAACAAAAACGTATCCGCTCATTAGAATCCTGGAACAGTGACTCTGTTGTCTGACTATAATATGACAGCACGTCCACTTTTGAAAATATACATCTTTTCCATGCATATCCTTACGTTCTCATCTAAGTGTACACATTTTCTTCGGGTTAAGGGTCCACAAGGTGAAGCAGAGTGCGTAGCATGGCCAGGAATTCAGGGGTCCCAGAGTGTGTCCCTCTGGGACCCAAACCCAAAACTGTGAAGGGTTTCTAATCTGCATAGCTCAAACTGACAAATCACCCAGAGGCTCCAGTCAGACCCAGAGCAGCCTAGCACTCTGCACCAGGAAACGGTTGTTTAAACATACGTAATACATTGTGGGAGTTCATGCATGTACGTCTGTGTACATAAGCACGGATCCCAACATTAGAAAAAAGAGTAAAATGTTGGTATTTGAACTCCTTGCAACACGGGGATATTGAGTATGAGTATAACAAACAACCATAAAATTTGAAGGTTTAAAGTGGTATGCATAAAGAGTTGCCAGTGCTTCACGAAGAAGTAAAGAAAATAGTAAAGTAAAGGTTTATTTGGATATTTTGTTAATGTAAGTCGTTTACAATGAACCTATAGTCAGAGAAAAAATAGGACCTTTTCTTCTGTTGAAGAAGTAGAGGAGGCTGCAAAAATGTTAGGAATGTTTGAAAGTCTTGCATAATATAACACCATTATGGTTTGGTTGGTTCTCTGATTATTGTCATAATAATGCCTTACTTGTGTTGTTTATTTATTTATAGAACAATTACAGAGCAATTTTAAACATCATATCCTGACCAAAGTGATGAGATGCTGACTGATTACTTAGAGGATGTGAGTACACAAGCTAAAGTCTTGACACAATAGTATTTAAGGGAACAGACCAATAAAAACAAAAAGTGAAAAATGAAAAACAAAGCCTGGCGGTCATGCTGTTTGATTTAGCTTAATGAATTCCATGTGATTTCCAAATTGTTATAAATTATAAATGCATGTGATCTATTGTGTTTTCACACTGTCATTTTGTCATAATTTGTTTAATCTTTACATGTTTATTGTTTATTGATTAGCATTCAAATATCTCAGTGAAGACAGAACAAAGATTTACCACAAAGCAAGAAAGCATGAGACAAGGCTAAT